ACCCAAACCCAAAAACCACTAAACGCCACACGCGCCGTATGCACTCAGCCTCATACTTGGGCTGTTGGATGTCGAGCAACCACTATGGTTATTCCAGGGCCTCTTACTGCATACCATTAACGCCTCTTTGGTTTCCTAGCCAGTGAAGGCTCAGACAATGACGCTACCTTAATTCCTCTTCCTCAACTCACCGCGCGTCTGGTCTACTCCACTGCTTCTCGGTAGGGGTTCACCGTTGCCAGTGCCAGAAATGTGGCTCAAACGAATCAACTCCTCCATCATGGCATCTCTTGTCTTCTTGACCAGATCATCCACGTGCTCAGCACCCAGTCCCTTTGTCTGTATCGGGGGGAGGACAGTCACATCGACCACGCCCGGCGAAAACTTCTGTTCCTTCACGTTCAGCACGTGCGAGTAGTTTGCGCAGACGACTGGTACAATGGGGACTTGTGCTTGTACTGCGAGATGGAAGGCACCCTTCTTGAAGGGGAGGAGATCGGGGGTGGAGGCGTAGGAGCGAGTTCCCTCGGGGAAGATGAAGACGGATTGGCGTGTCGACTGCATGGTTTGAGCAGCCGTGTCAAATGCAGCACGCGCGGTGGTGCGGTTTGCACGGTCGATGAAGACGGTCTTGGACAGCGCCATGAACCAGCCCAGAAGTGGCGTATACTTGAGTGACTTCTTCGCCGTGACGGATGTATACTTGGGGAACATGCAGCCCAGCATGAGAACGTCGAGTTCGCTATTTCGGGTGTCAGTACCACCTCTGCTATCGTGTTCACTTTTCTCTCAATCGCGACAAAGACTCACGTCTGATGATTGCCCACAAAGACGGCGGGTCGGTCCTTGAGCGCATCCTCGCCGCTAACACCACCCTCCTTCTTCATGCTGCCCGTGATCCTAAACGTCACACCGGTTCCGTACCACATGCACCACTTGAATGCCCGTCCCACCGACCATTGGATGAGACCTCCGTATCCAATGATGCGCAGGGGTATGGCTACGAGGGTGCCGTACAAGGCACATAAACCCATGAGGATGAAGGAGCTGAGTGCGAAAGCGTAATACGAGAGTAGCTGCGCGGGCTTCGCAGGCAGGACGAGCGACAGCAGCCGCATGGCCACAATGAGCACGGGCGGCATGGCGAGGTAGAAAAGCCAGCTCATGGCGAAAACTGGCAACGTGGTCGCGAGAAGCAGGGCGGGTTCGTGGTGAATCGGCGGGGCCCAGGGTTTTTTTTCGTGATGGGCGGTAGCGGTGATGCGCCGAGGTCTCGCGCTGGGCTGGGTACGTAGGCACTTCTCGCTAAGCGTTTGTGGGGTTGCCAGGCCTCAGTTCAGACCTTGCACCACTCAACGCTGCTGTAAAGACATGGCAATGTCTGACTGGGGAATCCCACATATAAGCACCGAGTTGACCCCATGTGCCGCTCGCCTGGGGCGTGAGTGTGTCACGCGTTCTGCCCGCCCTCCGAGCGCTGCAAGGTTCTTCGGGCTAGTATATGTAGTCATGTGTACATAAGTATTTTGCATGTGAGAATGGTCAGGGGAATGACCAACATAGTAGTAGTATATTCGTTCCACGTTCCGCATGGGTATCCTTCAAAAAACCTGAATCAAAATATGCGCCCTTACTTTTCAATAGTATCTGCCGACCCTGGTCGCCCTGCCACACCCCTCCGCTGCTTCAACCAGGCCATGGCCGTTATGCTGAATGCGGCGACATCCACGAGGAATATCACGAGCAACATCCACCGCCATGCCACCATAGTTCTGATCCTATCCTCTATCTCACTGCGCGTAGACCGATCTGCCAAAGGGAGATTCCGTACAGCCTTGAACCAAGTTTCGGGCGTCCAGCGAAACTCTGGGTAGTTCATACCCACTGTGTTAACGGCGACAGGCTCGCGGATGTACTGGCCTGTCGTCTGATATGTTACCACGAAGGCAAAGATGAAGCACGACAGGGCGAATAAAACGGCGAGAAAGAGCAAGACAGCGAGTACGGTAAGACTCTTAAGGCGCTGCTCATAATCATCAGTATGCTGGATGCCAATTGACAAGGCACATGATTGAACCTACCCGTTGAGCATTCCGCATCCTCCATGCTGTGACCATACCAAAGAGGCCCACGAAGAATCCATACGCCGCCGCACCATTACTCTCGTGGCCATGGTCCACCCAAAGATTCTTTGGCTCCACGTTCAACCGTGTTTCGTTTCCAGGCCAGTCGACTTGATATGTATGCACGTTGTGTTTTTGTCGGAGTAGCCATGCAACCATGGAGCTCAATAGCCCCAGGTTAGTAATGGACAGCGCTGAGAGTAAGAAAGAGATGACAAAAAGCGGCCAGCATCCTGTTAATGGTGTGGTGGTCGACGGCTCTGACGCGGGTCTTGTGCGACGAAGGTATTGTGTAATGCCCATCTCAGTCGAATTCCACAGGAACGATCAATGTCTAGTGAAGGAGCAGGAGTAGTAGCAATTGTCATCTGGCGTTGCAGCATAGTGTTATACATTCCGCGCCAGCACCGTGTGCGGCTGAGTCGTCTTTCCCAACTTGGGTAGGACGCATCCGGGGCCTATTGCAAACTCTCGACACCTTGGGCGTGCCACATATCAACTATTGCCTAATATTAGCAAGAAAAAGCGCCCCCATCAGCAAGGATGCTGACTTATCCTGGGGCAAATGACGAGCCACCAGTGGGGTTGCAAGTGTGATGTGTACGCGCAGGCCTGCGCCTTTGGCGGCTTAGCCAGCAACAATTGCAAAGCACCCAGGCAAACGTGACATGGTGAGGGCTGCCATGGCTTGTCAGTTGTGTCAGATGTGTAATGGCGTTGGTGTGATGTTTCTTGGCTCATGCATAAAACAATGGTGAGATGACGGCGCTCGTCCGTTTCAAAACGTGCCCGTCCGAAGCGAAACTCCCGAACCGTTACGTTTTGATAAATTCCTGAGCCTAGCGCGTGGCACTGCTCACGGATTGGGACGGCGGCCGCGCACCTTTATGGCGCAAACTGGGGCTGGCGGGTAGAAGATGTAGATCGCGTCGCATGTGTTGCGATGTGAGGCATTGTCTGGCTGTGGTTGATGACTGGCGACGAGAGGCGAGGCTGGGCCAATTGCACAAGCTCCTCGCCTCCCATGCGTTCTCCCACACATTGATTAGTATTTGCATGGCATCGTCTTCTCTACTTTACGCCAGCAACCACTCAGCATCATCCCGCGTTTTTAAGTTTGTCTGTCAGCCGCCCGAGAATGGGCCCTATGCCTCTCGGGCGCCTGATGCGACCCATGTTGCACGTGGGCAGCAGCTACTGGTCGGAACCAGCATGATGCGCAGCCTCAGCAGCCCGTCCCGATGAACTAAGTTTATTTTTTTTTTACCAGCCGAGATGCATGGCTTGACCTATGCTTAACTATTGCTTGGTCATTTGCTGGCGGCCTGGGTTACTTGGCCAGTCATGCATCCTCCAATCAAGTGGTAGAGACGGTGAAGACTAAATCGACGACCACTGTGCAGCTACATACATGCGACTGTCTTAAGCCTCAACCAATATTACACAATCAATGTAGGGCCCATGCCGGATATCCAGTTCAAGCACATTCGTTCATCGCATTGCAGCATTCAACCCTGTTTCAACGTCAATGCCACATTGAACACGACTTTGGCCCTAGGTTCGCAAGAAGCAGGACTATGTATATCATTTGGCTGCAGGCAATATTACGCTCGATCAAGCGGATCGGAAAGCCAGCCTTTTGCGGCATATACTACTTCCATAGAGTTCCTGTAACATGTAGATTTCTCATTCCTGCAACATCTCTCAGTTACACAGCCATGTTCCATTCTCGTCGCGTTTGTTTGATCGTCACTAAAGGAAGTAATGTTGATGCCCTTTAAAACGACCCAGGCAAACGTCTCACCAACTCCACAATGTGTCAAGCGCAAACAAGAGCGCGATTCATGTGCGAACGCATGATAAACCTTCAATAACAATGCATGGAGGCTTAGGACTCTATGGACACTCATATTACATACTAAAATCGAACACTCGTCTCTGTCAATGCTTCATCTCGACCTCCAGCAATGCAATCCTGATTCTGTAAACACACACGTCCCAGTGCGGCCTCGGATACTCGACAATGGTGATGTTCCTCTATGGATACAGTGTACCGCCAACTTCAGAACGCGCCTGCCACGACGAGCAAGGAGATCAACAAAAGAAACTTTCCTGGTCAAGCGCACTGCCAAATCTGGGATGCACTGCCAGATAGACAATGTATTGACCACAACGATCTTGTAATAATAGTTTCTTCACTGAAAAGAAAATTCTATGATACTTGGACGGTCAAAAGAGGGAAAGGCAGAGACCTGCGGAGCAAGGAAAGCCAGCTCCCCAGCTCAGAACGAATGACTACTAAACATTCAAGTTTTCGGACAAGGTAAAAAACACCCAGACCCACCAGAACATGTGTAACAAGGCAGTAGCATACGAAGAAAACGAGATCAACGTCTTTGCAGAAATCTTGTTTTTAACTCCGGTATACACTCTCATCTCATCCTCTTCTCCACCACTACACACAAACCTCACCCACAGCTCATCAAAGGAAAAGCGCAACTTCGTCTCTGACTGGTGAAATGAAGATCCCCCAACACGATCAAGCTGCTACAACGTTGGCCTGACTCCACTACAACACCAAATAAATCCCGTTCAAACACCCCACAAGAATCAAGATGGAAAGAGGAATAGAAACAAAGTCGAGTCAGTGAGATACGCCACGAAGATACCACTTCGAAACAAGTATCGAAACATCAAACAGATCGTGGGGAAGATGTAATCGTTAGTTCCCTCGACCCACAAAAACTCACGATGCTACACATTTGTTCATTCGTAAACTGACTAACTGCACAACGAGTAAACAAAAAAACATCATCATCATCCGGGCGTCCGAAAAGACATCATCCAAGGAGAAAAAAGAAAAGAAAAGAATCAGTCAAAAAGCTTGAGACCACATAAAATCAGCCTCAAAAAAAGGAGGACCCCCTTCATCGAAAATTAAGTATTTACAAAATAAGTTAAAAGTAACGAGCGTAAGTTTCTCTCTCTCTATATATATATCCAAAAGAAAAAAACCAGAATTCTACATCAACCATATTCTCACGTACAATCCCCACCCCCGCCCTTACCTCGTCCTGCTCAAATGTTTACTTACAAGACAAGCACCATAGCCCCGACAACGGCGCCAAGCAAGGCTCCCGCACCGACAACCTTATTGGCGGCACCCGTAAACTGCGGTGGCGCAACCGCCGTTCCGGTGCCGTTAGTTTGCGGCAGTGGGATGGCACCCGTGGGCGCGGTAGGCATGGGTACACCAGGCGCGGACCTGGTATCGATTGCCAGGCCAGCGGAAGAAGAGGCGTCAAGGATAGAGGACAGCATGCTCTTTGCGCTCTCGATGGGTACGGCGGGGTAAGAGGATGTGATGGTGGCTGGAGGCGCGGTGGTGGCGGGGGGAGCAGAGGCGCCAGGAGGAGGCGCGGTGACGGTTACGTATGCGGTTCCGCAGTTGCATGGCTCTCCTTTGTCTGCTCCGCTGCCTGAGCCTGCCTCGCCGCTCGCAGCGGGGGCGTCAACGCCGGCTTCGAGTGGGGGCTGGGTGCCGTTTACGGGCGTGGTGATGGGGGTAGAGTTGATGGGGGCGCCGTCTTTGTTGCCGGCGTCGAGGACCTTGATGGATTGGAAGCTACCGGTTTTGTCGGTCCATTCGTATTCTTTGCCGGGTGAGTAGTTGGTGACTTTTACGCTCTTGACCGTCATGGTGAAGGGGGCGTTCTCGTAGGTTACATTGCCGCCGGCCCATTGGCGGGTTCCTTCATTTGTAGAGTCGCCGCCGGGCCAGTTGCCGAGGCGGACGTTGCAAGGGGTTTGGGGAAAGTTTTTGCCGCCGTTTGCGTCGGCAAAGTTGAGGGTGCGGACAGGCTTGTCGTCGATGAGCCAGGTCAGGGCTGATGAGGTCCAGTTTAGGGCGTATTTGTGGAACTCATTTTGATTGTTGGCAACATCGGCTTCGATCATGCGGTCGTACGTTGTTGTGTTACCCTGATGGTGTTGTTAGTTCCTTTTCTTTTTCTGCAACATGCATAGTTTCAGTTGCATTTCGTTGGGAAAAAAACTTACCTTGCCAAAGTAGTTCATCTGCACACGGCTGTCGACGCCTCCAATCCATTCCCAGTCGACCTCATCCAAGTCGTCGGACTGAAGAACGATAGAAGAAACGATGCCGGTACCAGGAGCGGCTTTCATGACAACCTCGACGTAACCGAAATGGAAATATCCTTCAGAGCCAATAGTGGGCGCATCGCCCTTCTTGGCCACGGTAAACGCGGCTCCCTCAGGTCCATAGGTGAGGTCACCTGCAGTCTGCTTCCAGCCCTTGATAGCATCCTTGCCAGCAGTGAAGTCGGTCTCCCAGGTCTGAGGCATGGCAGGGTCAATGGGGCAGGTCTTTTCCATAGGGTTGCAATCAGTGAAGGTTTGAGCAGAGGCCAAAGCGGCCAACACGCTGGCGGTGGAGTAAGTTGTGAAGCGCATTTCTGATATAGATGGAGATTCGGAATATAGGGTTTTCGGTAAAGAACGTAAGCGTTGGGGTTCGCAGTGGACGTGATCTTCACAGAAGAATCACTTGAAAGGCAAGAAAAGAGAGTTTGAGCAAGGTCGCCCTGCGTCCAAAGGAAAGCGGTTGAAGAGAATGTGTGAATGACCAAAAAAACAGGCCGAAGAATGGTGTACGAAGAAAAGACAAGGGAAGAGAATTGTAAGAAAGACAAACAGCATAGAGGAGGATCCGACCATAAAAGTCGCGAGATTGTACACGACACAATCCCCTTGCCCAGGCATTAGTCGTCAGCCAGTCAGGCCATGCAGCCACTGGCACCCATTCATGCAGTCTCCCGATTCATCGCTGTGTAGATCTGAGTGGCCAGGCATGACCCTGAGCCGCACTCCTGATGTGTTTCACGAGCCGTGGGGTGGGTACTAGGCTGTGTCAGAAGTGCCAACCACCCGCCGCAGTCGTAGCGGCATCTCCGGCTCAGCCTATCGGACTTCAGATGTACCTGGCTAATGTTTCTGCCTCCAAGCCACCTTACTCCTTTCCGCTACCAGTCCTTTCGTCCTCTGGCACAACTATACGCGTGCGACCGACGGCGTGGCAAGCGATGCGGCGGTGCTGTGGAGATTGGGAGGCGAGGGGCCACGGAGGCTGAACCGGATTTTCCTTCCTTCGAGAATGTGCATCTGGATGCATCTAGTGCAATGCTGCGCCGGAGATGCATTTCGTCTGACTGTGTGCAACCAGGCACAAACTGCGCCACACTTGCTCCTCGGAGTGTCCTGCCAAACGACGCGCATCTGGTCTTTTCTTCGTGCGCGATCGTCTTGGTTATGAGATCATACCTCCCTTCTGTTACCCCTCTTGACGAGTGACGCAGTGATCAGCCGCCCTGAAGATCGCTTCTTTGTTTGTGAGGGAAGATTTTCGGATAGGCAGCCCTAGCGCTTGGGTGTTGGCTGTTGCGTCGCCAAAAGAGCCGCCCGCCGTTGCCAAGATGTGTGGCTATGTTCGTCTGCTGATGGTGTTGAGCGGCTACGTTTTCCAGCATCCCTGGACGCCTTAAACCAGTATAGAGTACGGGTGTAAGCCTGTTTCCATGGCGAGGCCAGTGGTTCACACAGGTTGTTTGAACTCGTCATTTTACTGTGAAGAGGCAGGTAAGGTGTGCTTGACACACCAGACTTGCGCTAGTATACGTGCGACCGCATGAAGCTAGGGCATTACCACATAGAGCATCAAACGGCTTTAAACGCTATATTTGCCCAGGCTTACTTGCAGCATCGCGCAGCCGTTATGAGATTAAATTAGACGATGCATAATCAGACCCCAGGAGGCCTTGTTTAGCAAGAGGATTCCTACAACAACAGATGTTTGGGTGCCACGTACTTTATTCGTCCGTATCGAACTGCTCTTGCCCAATCGTTCCCAGTATGCATGATCACGCCCTTCTCTCACGGCTTTGTACCTACACAAGACAGAGCAGTATATTTGCTTCCGCCTTTTGTTACTTGCTACATCATCTAGAGCCAGAATGGACATTGGTCATGCAAGTAGCCACGAGCCTCTCGTCTTACTGACGATATGGGTTGTATTTCTAAACCCCAAGTACACACGTGGTACCAACAACCATGAACCCGGAAACTAGCATATCCAGTTTGGTGGCTAACTTGTAGAAAAGCTTCATTATCATGTGTTTTGGTGATTTCTCTTTGCGCTTCTGTTGCATATCACGTAGTTAGTATCATTATTGCAGATAGCGTCGCCACTCGTCGCACTGCGGATGACATACTCGGTTTCATCTGCCGGTGTACTGACAGCACTGAATTCCATGTTTACCTGACTGACTCTCTATACCTAAGAATAGCGCATGTCTCACCAGAGCCTTGAGAACCCAACAAGGCTTGCTGGTTCGCATAGTGATGCAGTCATGTGACAGTGTTGTGCGAAGGAAAGTACTGGACTGATTGTGGCGCTGACCGCTTTAGCCCCGCGGCCACCCCGCTATTCTGCCGACAACAATTATTGCTAGTGACGCAGGGCGGCGAATATTAATTTCTGTGCTCTCTCACACACACACTTTTGTGCAATTTTCAGCCATGGCTACCACAAACGGAGTCGAGTTGCCAGAACAGCAAGCGCAACCAGTTCAGCATGTGCAACAGCACCATGCAGACGAGCAACACGAAGATGACGATATTGACGATTTATTCGACGATGACGACGAGATTGTGCCAGAATTAATTTCAGGCGACCATGGTGACTTTACAAAGGCCTACAACCGCCAGCGAAAACTGAACGATGCCAACATACCAGACGACCACAAGCCCAAGACGAACCCTCAGAAGCCGTCGGCAAATACAAACGCTTCCATCGACGATCAGGTTGCCTCACTCGCAAAGCATGCGAGCAAAATCCGGCTGACTGGGCGAATGACGGGCGCATCCGGTGGCAATGCAAGGGACAAGGACAAGGCAGACCGCGCCACGACAGAGCAGGTATTGGATCGAAGGACGCAAATGATCCTGTTGCAACTCATCAACCGCGGCGTCATTTCAGAACTTCATGGTGTCATTTCCACCGGCAAAGAAGCAAACGTCTACCATGCCATGTCAGAGCCGTCGGAAGAAGGCGCACCCCCCGTCCATCGCGCTGTAAAGGTCTATAAGACCTCTATTCTTGTCTTCAAAGATCGCGCCAAGTATGTCGAGGGCGAGTTTAGGTTCAGGCAAGGATACAACAAGAGCAACAACCGCGCCATGGTGAGAATGTGGGCGGACAAGGAGCGCAGGAACTTGGCCAGAATACATGATGCGGGTATTCCTTCACCCGAGGCATATGCTCTGCGCAACCACGTTCTGGTCATGGGCTTTGTCGGCGACCGAAAGGGCAAAGCAGCACCGCGACTAAAAGACGTACGCTTCGAGGGCTTGACCGCCGAGGAGGAGGATGCAAAGTGGACCAGCCTATATGTCCAGATGATGGCCTATGTCCGAATACTCTACCAGACATGTCGCCTTGTCCACGCCGATCTGAGCGAGTACAACATCTTGTACCACGAGGGTAAGCAATGGATGATCGACGTATCGCAAGCTGTTGAGCACGATCACCCACGCTCCCTCGAGTTTCTGCGCATGGATCTGAAGAACCTGTCTGATTTCTTCCGCTCACGCAATGTGGAAACTCTCAGTGAGCGCAAAGCTTATGCATTCGTCACTGGTGCATCGGGCGCGAAGGATATGAAGGAAGTATCACAGATTGAGGACACAATCCGCGAACTGCTCAACACACGACCTTTGACAGAGGAAGAAAAGAAAAAGGAAGACGAAGACGATGAGGTCTTCCGCAATCAGTATATCCCACAAACTCTCGATCAAGTCTATGACATTGAACGTGACGCTGAGCTTGTTAATGCCGGCGCTGGCTCCGATCTGCCGTACCAGGCTCTTCTGGCCGACAAGGTCGTCAACAACGCGTCTGATGGATCGCATACAGATGCAGAGACAGATGATGGAAGCTCAGATACGTCCGAGGTTGACCAGAGTATCTTTGAAAAGGGACCCAGTCGCGGAAAGAAGCATATGGATCACGATGAAAAGGTAGCCCATAAGAAGGCGATTAAAGAAGAGAAGCGCGAGAAACGGAAAGAAAAGATGCCCAAGCATATGAAGAAGAAACTTGTAAGCTCAGGCAGCCGGAAGAAGTGAGTTTGAGTTGTACAGCAAAAGCGCTTTTGGCGTTATATCTAGGCGCACTTTAATATTGCGAATGCCGCATATCAAAAAGAAGACTATCTGGGTTCGTAGGCCGGTACAGTTTCATCATGCCCGCATTTCCCCCCATAAACGCCGAGCCTTCTCTACAACATGTTCTTCCTCCACGCCCGCGTGCCCAGTCTCTCAATTTCCGGCACTTCCACCGGCCCACGAACATCGTCGTCTTCCAACGCCTCTACCACTGCTTCACCCACAAGATCGGCTTTTAGAGGCTTTATGCCCCCCGCGCCCATCAACCACGTCAACCGACCTCCGACTGCGCTGTTGATCATGCTCGCAACGCCACCAGCCGCCGCAATGGGAAGCGTAAAAGTCCGACTGCTATCGTACATGAAGGGCGCCCGAATGAAAATCGATCGCATAGTTGGAAATGTTGTCGAAATCAGAGACTCGGCCTCGCGTTTCGTAGTAATGTAGCGTGCAGGCAGAATCGGTGTACCAGCGGCCGCAGAAATGTAAACGAAATTCGGTACCTTTCGCGTCGATGCCTCTTGAGCTAGGGAAACAGCTGTTGTTTTTTGGCCGTCTAGTTAGCTCCTCACATATACCACATAGAAAATAAAAAAAAAGCCATTGCAGGCTTCAGAACAAAACCCAAGAATCTTACCTGTATCTCTATTCATAACTTCATACGTCAACTGTCCATCCTTCTCCTGCGGCTCCAACTTCTCGCCCTGCTTCCGCGCCAGCGGATTCTGCGTCCCGGCCTTTGTGCGACTAAATGCTCTTTGCAGCCCTTTGATCGGGCTCTCGCGGCCACTGATGACACCCTTGTAGTCGGCCTCGAGCAGGATACCCATGCTGTGTATGACGGCGTCTGCGCCTTCGAGGTGCTGCGTGTACGATGCCGGGTCCAAGATGTCGCCTTTTTGCCACGAGACCTTTTCGGCCCAGTCCGGGGGTGAGGGAGACGAGGAGACAGAGGACCAGTGGGGGGTGCCGGAGCGGCTGGAGGGAGTTAGGGAATATATATGTTGGATGGGGGGGGGGCGGTTTTTACGATATTGAGGTTACGGTCCAGCCTCTGTGGGCGGCGGCTTTGCATATTCGACTTCCTGGGGTGATGTGTTAGTTTACCGTTGGCGCAATGTGATTGTATAACTTTTGTTGCGAAATGAATAATTGGGGGATTGTTGGTCAATTGCGTACCTAGGAATCCGTTACCACCGCATACGACGAGCTTCCTTTTTGCTGCTGCTGCGGAAGCCATTGGTGCAATTGTACTGGACGGCGAATTACGCGGGCTTCGGAGCTATATACAATTGGTAGTTGGTGAAGAGTAGCTTCGTATTGTGGAAGTCTGGACGTCTGGAAGCGTTGGTGTTTGTGGTGGAGATGCGTGATCGGAAGCTTCTAGTGCTGATGTCACTAGGGTTCGCGTGAGTCGCGTACTAGGGCTGAGCAGGGGTGTGCGGAGGTGCTGGGGACCTCCGCGACCTGCAGGTAGACGCGTCTACGTTGGTATCATCTCTTTGCATACTTGAGGACTGAAACAATTTCTTATCCATTGAGACTTGTTTATTAGGATGTTTTATTTCATATGGACATAATGACCGCTGCGTTTTATCATGGCCCTTCACGTACCACAATTCGTGTCGTCATGACCTTGTGATACTAGTGCCAAAAGCACCCTCTTCAATAGCTTCCAGCGCATTTAAGATCCAAAACGGGTTCTTTGCATTCTGTGTACTATATCATATCCACTGCTCTGCTTCCAATTGTAACAAAAGAATGATGGCATTACGCAGCTTGTTCAAAAACGATCTCGTCCTCGTCAGCACAAATCTCGCAGTGGTAGCTGGCGTGGCGACACTGCTAGGTAACACAGTATTTCGTATATAAATCTCGGACCTGCTGTTCGAAAACTAAATGAATGCCCTAGGATCGAGAGTTGAAAAGAAATTAGACCGTATGGAAGAAGAGCAGGAAGCAAGGCTGGACGAGATTGAGGGGACAATACGTGGGCATGTTGGCTTGATCGAGGATTCTCTGGATAGAATGGAAGGAAAGCCAAATGCTGACAAACAGGACAAATTGTATAACCAGAGGACGAGAGATACGAAGGGAAGTGAAGGTGGGAAGTGAGATCACCGCCGCGTCCGAGGGACTCGTTGTTTTGTGCAAGGATGTCATACTGCAGCAGGGGTTCGCCAGTAATTGTCTATCTAACTAGCAATTTACCAATCAACTGTTTTAACGGAGCAGATTTAATAGCGTGCCCAGTCATTCCAAGTTCATTTACCAAGAACACAGTTTTTTCCCTCAAGCCTCCTTTGGCCTCCTTCTGATCATGAGCGGTTTATCTCTTGGTTCCATCACAACATTTCCAAATTCAACCATTTTATATCTAGACTCTATTCCTGTGACATCTCCTGGCATTTTGATGTCGTAATTCTCGATTAGTCTGGCAAGGGTGATCTTGAGCAGGTTATGCGCATAGAATCTACCTGGGCAGACATGGCTGTCATAACCCCATCTGAACTCAGTTTCATTTGCAATCAACCATCGGTGCTGGGGTTTATCTTTTTGTTCGCTCATCTCGCGTAGTTTGTAGTGTCGGAAGCCATCAAAAGTTTCAAATTTGCGCTCTGTGACGAGTGGGTTTGCAATAACAATAGCTACGCCTGGGGGTAGGTACTGTCCATTGCAGAGAGTGTAGCCTTTACGAACTCGACGGAAGTATGGCTCTGTTTATGTTTTAGCCTTACTCAAGAAGCATGTACAGCAACGTACCTATGATGACAGGAAAATGCATGCCGACCTCCTTGAAATAACTGTCCAGTTTTCCGAACTCCTTCATTGCACTGACTGGAATTGATCCATCGGCATTCAAGGTGTTTCGGATCTCTTCCCTGAGCGGCTCAATATACTCGGGCGTTACTGCTAGCGTATGTAAGATGGCAATAAGTGTTTGCATAGATGCATTGATAGTCCCTAAGATGAGAAGGACTTGTGCAGCTGTGCAGTCTTCCAAGGTATTTTTTGACCTGTCAGTTCTATTGAGAAGCCATTGCATCATGTCGTCAGGTGGAACCCAGTTCGGGTCCTTCATCTTAGCCTCTCGCTCTTCCATAACGCGCTTGACGTAGTTTCTTAGTTTTCCTCTTGTCTCAAGAAGGCGTTTGACCTCCGGCAGTCGAGGAGCTATGAAAGGTCTGAGCCACACTCGTGTAACTTTAATCGCTTTTGTAGCTTCGCCTAAGTAGACAGTAAAGTTCTTTGTGCAGTCAAGATAACCTTGTTCGTTGGCAACACTGGACCCAATGAACAAGTGAGCTGAGACTTTTGCGACGATATCCAGAGCTGTTTTTGATGCGTTGATTTCCGTCCACTCGTTATGGGATGGAAGGTACGTGTCCAGTGCTGCATCGACTTCCTCACAGATCTTAGAGGTAATACTCGCTATTTGTGTCAGCACATTATAGATGAAGAAGAAAATGCTTACTTACTTAGCTTAGGTGTAAGATCCCTCTTGATTGTATCGACGACTTGTGGTAGAAAGGCAATGTCCACATAAGTATAGGTTTCCTCTAAACCCTAAAACCGATTTAATGATCAGATCTGTTATTTTGCACAAGCTACATACTTTCGAAAACATGTCATAGAAAGACAGTACCTCCTCTGGAGCTTTCCGAAGCTCAGATAACATGGAAAACGGAAGGACAATTTGCACCTCTACGACAGTTTAGTCATTGGACCATTGTCTCGGCGCACATTGCATACCGTCTAGAGTTTGCATCCTATAAGCCAATCCTCTAAACTAGTGACATGTTAGCGAAAGACGACGTTCTTTCCGAGTGAGATACCTTCTGATGACCATCCTTATAGAGGGCTTTTGCTCCAGCCAGAAACTTTGCTCGTCTTTCCTCATTGCTTAGGTGCTCTAGAATGATTGGGAATTTTGCCATCTGAGACTTATATCTAAAACGCTGGAAGTATACAGAGCCTGTAACGATGAAAACAGCAACCACTACTGACAGTGGGATTTGTCGCAACAAGGCAAGGCCCGAAAGAGCCAACTCGGTCGCTTTGGAGTCTGTAGTATCGGATTCCATATTTAAAATCAGCTAAAGATAGCTGAACCTAAGAAGTATTTTTGTTATGAGACTATGAGACAACACAAAGTCATTAGGGGCAAAGCCGATTTATGTTAAAAATGCTTTCTGCATCGGTTGGAGTAACAACTCTCCAAGTCACTGCCATCGAGCTTGTGAATACAAGAAGAAAAGAATCCCCCAACCCCATTTGCTCAGATTTCCGAGTCCCTGGATATTCTACTTGGTGTGCTAGGCCAAATAGAGAAGTTGTGGTTGAGAGCACAAGGCATACGTGTCTCATCTTCCGGGCCGTGCTCAAAAGCCCACATGGCATCGTGACGAGTACCTTTACCGAACGATAGCAAATGCGCTTGGGAAAGATGTATACCGCCGAATCTTGCATTGAAAACCCACTGACGTCTGATTTCGGCAAATGGTCCGGCCGTCCGTATTCATCCCGGCGGCGGCTTGGTATCGAATCGATTGCATGTAGTTTCAACTTTACTCCTTGACTGAGTGAACTGTTAGCAAAGGCCTTGATGCATAATTATTTCTGTTGAAGACTCAATCGGGTACTGCGGCATAGAATTACCTCGATGTACTGCTCGGGCCTGTAGTACTTTCATCATTAAGTGGAACCATAATCCGTAGCGCAATTGAGCTCACGGCAGCCGATCGATCTCGCGATATTACTTACATCTTGCGATCACGCTTGGCTCTGGATAAGGAGCAGCTATAGGAGGCAAGTCTTCATTTAGATCGCAGTATAGAGTAGTCGCGATACTTGTAACTCAACCGGCCACCAAAGCAGCAAATATTGCAATTTTCGTCTCCACTGAGTAACCTTTGAAGACCGCTGACGCAATAACAAACAATTCTGTCACTATTAACACCTCGTCTAATATCTAAGTTAAGGTTCTCAACAGTAGAATTATCAGGAACTGTAAACTGATTTTTCTCGTAGTGAATACTCTTCTACCCCTCGCGTGGCGAGGAACTAAGCGCGCTAGTAAGTATGGAACTACATGCTGTAACCATAATCTAATTGTGCTGTACCAAGAATACACTAAAATCTGAATGACGTACTCTTCAGTGTTCGATATGGACGTGTAGGACATGGCTGGAGGCTGAGTAGCTCAGTATTCGGGCCGGGCACGGCATCCACACGGGCATTAGTTGCCCCTCTCAAGCTTTCCGTGCAGTTCCGCTGCCGGCTCCGACCGGGTTCTGGGGTGCCCATGCTTCGGGAGGTAACCCACCAGTATATCCGTACTCTCGGCACACTAGCCGCATGTAACTTCTTTGGGACATCTACACACATGTGGATAGGTATTCAGTTTAATAGTCTAAAAGTACCCAGACAAGCCTTCAATAGACGTTATTTGACCAGATTGAAATGGACAAATCGCTACGGATCGTTACAATATGCTGCAGTGTCAAAATACTTGAAGACCAAGCCCCCGCGTGTCCGCATATTCTGTGGGGAAACGCAAGAAATAGCAGTCATAAAAAGATGCTATCTAAGTTTTCACGGATGCAACTACAATCCAAAAAGCCAAGTAAAATGTATGGGACCTATTACTAGGTAGGCCCTTGAACAACCCAACGATCGAGGGCACTTGGTGCTCCTGTATCCGGCACAAGCGCTATTATGGTATTGCATAATCCCCTTGGCATGTTCGTTTCATTGCGATCGTACATAGGTGACAAGTCATATGTATGTTCGTATCGGCGATGCAGAGGAACCTCCAGCTGCAAAACAATTCCGCCGGCGGCTGGGCTCCGGATCGGGTTCTGGGTATGCCAATCTACTTGTCATCTCGATGGGATGCATATCGTGTACAGTCATACTACCATTGAGATCATTTTTTTTGATCATCTGTTGCAGCAAAGCCTTAACCATTTACAGCCCTCAAATCTTTTGGGACTTGTTCAGCGGCGTGTGCTACACAATACTTCATTATCTGTAGTATGATTTCGCATATCGGGTTTCCTGTTAAAAAGACCATGACTGGCAGTCATATCCTTGAACTGTAATGTAAATCAGGATTTTGACAGCTGGAAATGAGGTATTGTGGCCGAACTGCGGCACTGCAAGAAACTTTCCTCTGATTACAATCCGGAACATCTGTTCTAGCATGATATCTAGCGGGCTAATATTATTAGAACTATATAGTGACGATCTATACGATCAAAGCGACGTTCCCGATTCTGGGAAGTTTCGCAAGTCCCTCGGAACTAGGTGGCAATGAAGGAGCACAATACCAAACCAGCCTGTGGCCGATAGGGCCTTTCTGTACCCACAACGCAAGTGGGCCACAGTGTAGACTCTGGCATACGCGGCAACAATCGAATCTAGAAAATTTCAAGGCGCTTTCACGGCTGTACTCGTATTGATTGTGGAGACATAACAGCCATGGTAACGAGCCAGATCTCATTTCCAATATGGAAATAAGTATGTAGCAGGTTGTGGAGAGATCGTGATTGTGCTATTGTAGTCGAATCGACGATCGAGATGGCCGTGTATATCGTGAGATGTACTCAGTATCTTGGCGTTTTGATACATTGTTCTTGTCTTGTGGTAATATCGGCCGATCGATTCCAATCTGTCAAACAATCCTTGCGGTTTTCTCCCCCTACTTAAATACTGCAGAATGGCATGCCCAAACCCCGATGTTCAAAATCTTCAGACTGAGATCAACAGCTTCAGCAGTTTTGTATCTCACTCTTTCTCACCCAAACCATTGATTTAACAAGACAAAACAGCCATTTTCACAATGGGTGATTTCGGAAACCCACTAGAGCTCGACATGGATAAGCGTGATATCGACCAAATATGGGAGAGAAACTTTGGGATCATACCAGCAGTTGAGTATTGCGTTCACGACTTGTACATAGAGCAAGCAAAAGTTCGACCTAACGCGCCTGCCATCTGCGCATGGGACGGCGAAATGACTTACAAGCAATTGGATGAGCACTCAACGCAACTAGCGGGCTACCTAGCTGGTCAAGGTGTTATAGCTGAGGAAATGGTACCATTGTGCTTTGAGAAGTCACAGTGGACAGTGGTAGCCATGCTTGCTGTTCTAAAAGCTGGCGGTGCGTTTGTTCCGCTAGATCCGTCTCACCCAAGGTCTCGCCACGAAGAGATATTCAAACAAACCAAAGCTAAGGTGGTACTCACTTCTGTACAATATGCGAATCTTTGGCCAAATTCAACGCAACGGATTCTTGCAGTCAGCAACGCCTTCATCAACCAGTTATCAGCCGAGACTAAAGTTTGTTCCAAAGTCGAGCCATGGAATGCTGTATATGTGATGTTCACATCTGGCAGTACTGGAGTTCCAAAGGGCGTCGTCTTGGAGCACGGAGCAATCACGACAAGCTGTCTAGCTCACGGAAAATCAATGAGACTTGGACCTAACTCTCGAGCCCTCCAGTTTGCGGCTTATACTTTCGATATCTGCATCGCTGAGATATTCACTACATTGATATTTGGCGGATGTATCTGCATTCCCTCAGAAGACGACCGACGTAACGCCTTGTCAGAATTCATCAACAACAGAAATGTCAACTGGGCACAACTCACGCCAACAGTCGCGCGTCTACTTGATCCCCTAACAGTTCCGACCCTAAAAGTACTCGTCCTTGGAGGAGAACGAGTGGACGACGCCGACTGGAAAAGATGGGATGGCAATGTCGCACAGATAAACGTATATGGCCCAACAGAGTGTAGCATTTGGTGCACTTCACATGAAAACACTGGTCCGGATTTCCAGTCAGGGATGATCGGCAGATCAATGGCTTCAGTCAGCTGGGTGACTAACCCAGACAACCACAACCAGCTGGTGCTCTTCGGCGAGGTTGGAGAACTTCTAGTAGAGGGACCAATTCTAGCACGTGGCTATCTCAACGACACAATGAAGACTGAGGCTGCCTTCGTCAGCAACCCCTCCTGGCTGATGCAGGGTAGCGACGACCGTACTGGACGCCAGGGAAGATTATACAAAACGGGAGATCTAGTCTACTATAATGCAGATGGCAACTTAGTCTATGTAGGTCGAAAAGATAGCCAAGTCAAGGTGCGCGGCCAACGAGTTGAGTTGGGTGAGATTGAGCACCACCTCCACCAATGCATGCCAGGCGTCAAACAGTTGGCGGCTGAGGTCATTTTACCAACGGGAGACCAGGGCAAAGCAATGGTAGCAGCATTTCTGCAGCTGAGCGAAGAGACACATCATACACCCATCAGCCAGATTTCTGACAGCAACTCCGAGGTGCAAGTCATCTTTCCTACCCAAGTGGACGAGCAATTGGCTCAGAGACTACCAAGAGATATGGTACCCGAAGTATACTTTGCAGTGACGGAATTTCCATTGACAACGTCCGCCAAAGTAGACAGGCAGCGGTTGCGTAAGATTGGGGCATCATTTTCCGCACAACAGTTGGCCCAGTTACGGACGCGAGGTGATGGTCTAAAGCGACAACCAGACACAGAAAAAGGAAAGATACTGCAGCAACTATGGTCGCAGGTACTTAGCATTGATCCAAGGTTCATCGGTATGGATGACAGTTTCTTCAGCCTGGGCGGCGACTCAATCGCGGCTATGAAGCTGGTGGGCGAAGCACGCAGGTCAGGGATACAGATCAGCGTTGCAATCGTTTTCCGCAATCCCAAGCTGGATCAGTTGACCTCTGCAGCAGTTGTCTTGGCTGGAAGCTCTACTTCTCTCATTCCGCACGTTGGCAGTGATGGGCCTGTTGAGCAATCATTCGCACAGGGCCGAATGTGGTTCTTGGAAGAACTACACCCTGGTCTGACATGGTATCTCATGCCAGTTGTGGTGCGTATTCGGGGCCCGCTGCAGCTCTCAGCGCTAGAATCTGCACTAAATGCGATTGAAAACCGTCATGAAACTCTCCGGACAACTTTCGAAACAGTTGGAGACGCAAGCATGCAGGTGGTTCAGCCGTTCCATCCTAGGGCAATGAACGTCATCGACATAGACGAACATAGCCTCACAGATGCTGTGCACCGAGACCAGACAACTCCTTTTGACCTACGCACTGAGGCTGGGTGGAGGGTTTCGCTCTATCGCATTAGCAAAGAAGACCATATACTATCTATTGTTATGCATCATATTGTCTCTGATGGCTGGTCCACTGATGTACTTACGCGAGAGTTGGGCATATTCTATTCAGCCCTAATACAAGGCCGGGATCCGCTTTCTTGTGTGCAACCTCTGCCTATCCAGTATCGGGATTTTTCAGTGTGGCAGAGACAACAAGCGCAGATTGACAATGACCAGAGTCAGCTCGAATATTGGTCTAATCAGCTGAATACCAGCAGGCCAGCTGAGCTGCTGTGCGACAAACCCCGACCTACTGCTCTATCTGGACAGGCCGGAAAAGAAAAGATTAATATCGATGGCCCACTATACAATAAGCTGCAGCAATTCTGCAAAGCTCACGGGGTAACACAGTTCATGGTTCTATTTGCAGCCTTTAGGGCTACACACTTCCGTCTAACTGGTCAGAACGATGCAACTATAGGCACCGTGAATGCCAACCGAGATCGATGGGAGCTAAAAGACATGATTGGCTTCTTTGTCAACTTGCAATGCCTTCGAACTACAATTACGGACGAGTCATTCGAAGAACTGGTTCAGCAAGTCCATGAAGTAACGATTGCTTCCCTTGCCAATGGAGACGTTCCATTCGAAAGCATCGTCTCTAAGTTAAAGAATACCAGAGACATGTCTCGTCATCCGATTGTGCAGCTCATTTTTGCCGTCCACTCGCAGCGCAAATTGGGGCATCTGACACTGGAGGGCATGAGAACAGAGAGTCTTGACAATGCACCAAAGTCAAGATTCGATATTGAGTTCCACTTCTTCCAGCAAGAAGACAGCCTAAAGGGTGATGTCGTCTATTCAACCGACCTCTATACGCCAGAGACAATTGGCAACATGCTATCAGTTTTCCAAATCGTTCTTGAGGGGTGCCTACAAGATCCGAAAGCTGCAATCGCCTCCTTACCGTTGTTGCGCGAAGCCAACTACTCCAAGCTCAAAGACTTAGGTCTTCTTCATGTTGAGAGAACTGATTACCCACGTGATTCCAGCATAGTCGATCTCTTCCACCAGCAAGTATCAATCTGTCCGTCCAGGATTGCTGTCAAAGACCCGCTGAGAGAGATGACTTATGCGCAGCTTGACAAGGAATCTGAAGTTCTCTCTTGGTGGCTAGCTAAACAGTCGCTCGCTCCAGAGACATTGGTAGGCGTATTAGCAGGTCGAAGCTGCCAGACCATTGTTGCATTTTTGGGTATCTTGAAGGCCGGCTTGGCGTACCTACCGTTTGATGTCAAACTACCAGCGAAGCGGATGGAAACCATTCTCTCCTCACTACCAGGCCAGAAAATTGTGCTTTTTGGGACTGACGTAGAGCCTCCCAAATTGAAGATCGGTGATGTCCGGTTCGTACGGATCGCAGAAACACTCGACGAGCAGATCCGCAAACCATCCGATTCCGGAAATATCGTCAAGCCTTCAGCAACTAGCATCGCCTATGTCATGTTTACATCGGGATCAACAGGTCAACCGAAGGGTGCCATGATTGAACATCGTGGTATTGTGCGTTTAGTAAGAGACAACAACTTTGTGCAGCACCTGCCGGCCTCACCAGTCATGGCGCACATGACGAATCTTGCATTCGATGTCTCCACGTGGGAGATATATGCCTCTCTCCTACAAGGTGGAACACTAGTCTGCATCGACAGAATGACAGTGTTGGATCCAGAAGCTGTGTTGCGAACATTCCGTCGAGAACAAGTCCAAACGGCATTCATGACACCGTCCCTTTTCAGAACCTACGTTCAGCAATCACCTGCAATGTTTGCTAATCTCGAGATGCTTTGTGTTGGTGGCGAAGCACTTCAATCAAATGATATTGTTTCCATAAAGACACTTCGTACAGGCAAGATCGTCAATGGCTATGGGCCGACTGAAAATACAACTTTCAGCACAATTTTCGTTCTATCAAAAGACGACGAGTACGCAAATGGCGTACCCATTGGCCGTGCGCTTAGCAATTCTGGCGCCTACGTCATGGATTTGAAGCAGCAACTTGTCCCCCTTGGTGTCGTTGGAGAACTTGTTGTCACGGGCGATGGCCTGGCGCGTGGATACACTGATCCCAAGCGCAACATTGACCGCTTTGTCACAGTCGAGATTGACGGTGAGAATATGAAAGCTTACCGTACGGGTGATTACGTGCGTTATCGTCCTACAGACGGCCAGCTGGAGTATTTCGGACGAATGGATGGACAGGTCAAAATTCGAGGACATCGCATCGAGTTAGGCGAAATTGAGCATGTTCTCCGCAGCCATAAGTCAGTAAGTGAGGCAGTGGCTGTAGTGCAGCAGCAGAATGTAGACGAGGCTACTCGACTAGCTGCGTTCGTCACAGTCTTCGAGGGCGACGTAGTAGCTGACGAAGAGCCTAACGACAACGACGAGTCACAGCACGTAGACACATGGGAGGATCAGTTTGATTCGAAGGTCTATATGCCCATTTCCAACGTCCTCTCTGAAGCTGTTGGACGAGACTTCATTGGATGGACTTCCATGTACGATGGTAGCGCCATAGATAAGGTAGAGATGAATGAATGGCTGGACGAGACAATCGACACAATACTCAACGGCGGTAAACCTGGCAAAGTCCTTGAGGTTGGTACAGGAACTGGTATGATTCTTTTCAACTTAAGAGACGGCCTGGAAAGCTACATTGGACTAGATCCATCCCAAAAAGCTGTTGATTTCGTCAAAGAAACAGCCAGGTCCATACCTACGCTAGCAGACAAGGTCAGAGTCTACAAGGCCACGGCGGCAGAACTTGATCGCTTACCACCTATTGATGCAAACCTTGTTGTTATCAATTCAGTCGTTCAGTATTTCCCAAGCTTGGATTACCTTTTCAAGACCGTGCAACAGCTGCTCGAAATAGAGGGCGCCTCTACTCTCTTCTTTGGCGATGTTCGGTCTTATGCGCTACACCGGGAGTTTCTCGCAACACGGGCCTTGTTCATGGCTGGCGACACTGCAGAAAAGGCTGATATCCGTCGCATGATTGCCGACATGGAGCGAGTTGAAAGAGAGCTTCTGGTAGATCCAGGTTTCTTCACTGCTCTGCCAGAGCGTCTACCAGGCCTTATCGAGCATGTCGAAATCTTGCCAAAGAAGGTAAAGGCAACAAACGAGCTAAGCTGTTACCGTTACGCAGCCGTCGTTCATGTTAAGTCGCGAAATGGACAAAAGCAAGAGCAGGTAATTCGAGATGTGGGGCATGACGAATGGATCGATTTTGCTGAACACAAGCTGGACCGACCGTCTCTCTTGAAGCAACTTCAAAACCTTTCCAGCTCATCCACTGTGGCCGTGAGCAACATTCCTTATAGTAAGACGATTGTGAGCCGGTGCCTTATTGACTCATTGGACGGTGCCATAGCAGAGACGTCTGATGCATCAAGCTGGCTCTCATCAGTGTATCGGCAAGCGGAAAACTGTCCCTCTTTGTCTGCTGCTGAGCTACATGAGTTGGCAGCAGAGGCGAATTGCCACGTTGAGATTAGTTGGAACAGACAGCACTCTCAGCGCGGAGGTCTTGACGCGATATTCCATCGCTATCAACCACAAAAGGGAGAGAACAGAGTTATGTTTCGATTCCCCACTGACCATGCAGAGCGGCCTCTACATAACCTGGGCAGCACGCCATTACGGCAACAGGTCTTGCAGAGGACCCAAAAACAACTCCAGGAGATACTTGAAGCCCAGCTACCCGCTTACATGATTCCCCAGACGATCACGTTCCTGGACGCGATGCCAACCAATCAGAACGGCAAGGTGGACCGTAGCGCTCTTACACAGAGAACGGAAATCCAGACAGTAGAAGGCCAAGAATTCCAACGAGAATTGACTAGGGCAGAGCTCAAGGTTCAGCAACTGATGGCTCGCGTACTTTGCATCAATGCGAACCGCATTGGTCTCGATGATAGCTTTTTCCAGCTAGGCGGTGACTCAATTGCAGCCATGAGATTGGTTGCTATGGCTCGTGAGGAAGATATGCAAATTACGGTCGCAAAAGTTTTCCAGTACCCTAAAGTTATTCAACTAGCCGCTGTGGCTCAGGAGCATGTACACATTCCTAGGGACAACATCGCCCCATTTTCTCTACTCGACCCCGAGGTTGATGCAACGCAGACACACCAAGATGTAGCGAATAGCTGCAAAGTCGACAGAGGTCTTGTTGAAGATATCTACCCATGCTCGCCGCTTCAGGAAGGCTTGATGTCGCTGACTGTGAAGCGGCCGGGTGATTACATCATGCAGACAGTGCTGGAACTGCGGCCAGATGTGGAAGAAGCAGCCTTCCAAATTGCGTGGGAGAAAACAGTTCAGTCATTGCAAATATTACGAACGCGCATTGTAGTACATAAGACCCTTGGTCTGTTGCAGGCTGTCGTGGCAGACAAAATGAAGTGGGCAGAAGCAGACGATCTGGCCACCTACCTAGCTCAAGACAAGCTGTTATCTATGCAGCTTGGTGAGCCACTTGCACGCTATGCTCTGGTACGAGACTCTCATAAAGAAAAGCGGTGGTTCGTATGGACAATTCACCATGCTATATACGATGGTTGGGCGCTGGCCCACATTCTGAACGCTGTACAAACGGCGTATAATGGCGCAGAGCTAGAGAAGCAATTTGGGTTCAACAACTTCATCAAGTATCTTGAGCAGCTAGATCAAGATGGTCTCGCATCATACTGGAGGGCTACGCTTAGCGACTGCGAGGCCAATGTTTTCCCACCACTACAATCTAGGGTGCAACAGCCAGTGGCAGATGCGACAGCTGAATATCAATGCCCTCCACTTCCCAAAAGAACCTCAAACACTACCATTTCAACACTTATTCGCACAGCCTGGGCGATTGTTGCTAGCGCCTATACGAATTCAGAAGACGTTGTGTTTGGAGCGACAGTCACAGGCCGGAATGCACCAGTGGCGGGCATCGAGTCCTTGGTCGGACCTGTGATTGCAACAGTGCCGGTGCGAATACGTCTACAAAGGGACCTGACTGTTCTAGAGCTTCTCGAAACGGTACAGAAACAAGCAACCGAAATGATTCCATTCGAGCAAACCGGATTGCAGCGGATCACTAAGCTAGTACCAGAAGCCCAACATGCCTGTAGCTTTCAGACACTTCTGATTGTGCAGCCTGCAGAAGACGCATTCCAAACAGACAACATGTTTGGAAAGTGGGAATTTGGCTCAGGGCTACAAGACTTCACGACGTATGCGCTAATGGTACAATGCAAGCTAGCTAAAGAGGGGGTTAGAATCACGGCCAGTTTCGATGCGCGGTTGGTTGAACAGTGGCAGGTTGAGAAGATGCTGGCTCAACTAAGCTTCGTCATGCAGCAGTTGGCCCGAGGAGACCTAAACACAAGAGTCAAGGACATTGAAATAATCACACCAAGTGACGAACAACAGCTGTGGAATTGGAATCACAAGTTACCGCCAGCTATCGAGCGTTGTGTCCATGATCTATACTTGGAACAAGTAAAGTCTCAGCCCAAAGCAGATGCGGTATGCGCATGGGATGGTAGAATGACATATGAAGAGCTGGACGAAACATCATCGCGCCTTGCACACCATTTGATCAGCCTTGGGGTTGAATCAGAGAGCATAGTCCCTCTTTGCTTTGATAAATCGATTTGGGTTGTTGTAGCTATGCTGGCTGTGCTCAAAACAGGCGGCGCCTTTGCACCCCTGGATCCCAATCATCCAACATCTCGTCATCGAGAGATCTTCGACCAAACCAAAGCCAAGATGATTCTCTCCTCGACACAGTACGCCAATCTCTGGCCAGAAAGTTCTCAAATCGTCGTGCCAATCAGCAGAGACTTCATTGATCAGTTGCCGGCCAAGCCTTACGACGCTCAGATAGCGGTCCAGCCAGGGAACACAGCGTATATTATCTTTACATCAGGAAGTACTGGAGTGCCTAAGGGTGTTCAACTAGAGCATAAGGCTGTTTCCACAAGTTGCCTATACCAAGGACCTGCTTTAGGAATCACAAAGAATACTCGAGCTCTTCAATTCGCCGCCTATACATTTGACGCCTGTATTCTAGAGATCATTACAAGTCTATTACATGGTGCTTGTGTATGTATTCCTTCCGAGAGCCAGCGGCGCGACAATCTCATCGACACAATCAATGCCATGGAAGTCAGCTGGGCACTGTTGACTCCAGCCGTCGCGAGAATATTGGACCCATAGAAGATTGTGTCGCTGAAGACGTTGGTTCTTGGTGGTGAAAAGGTCAACGCTTCGGACTGCGAAATCTGGAGTGACCGCGTACAACTAATCAACGCTTATGGACCTACAGAATGCTGCGTCTCTTGTGTCGCAAATCCCGATATGAAAGGGCTTGATCCGGAACCTATCGGAAATTCAGTTGCATCAGTCAGCTGGGTAGTTAATCCAGACGATCACAATAGGCTAGCTCCGCTAGGCGCAGTGGGTGAACTGTTGGTCGAAGGACCAAACTTAGCACGCGGCTATCTGAACGATGCTAAGAAAACAGAAACCGCCTTTATCAATGAACCTCCCTGGCTACTTCGAGGCAGTGAAGGCTATAGTGGGCGACGAGGCAGACTGTACAAGACAGGTGACCTAGTGCATTACACTGCAGATGGTAGTTTGGTCTACGTTGGCCGCAAAGACAACCAGGTCAAAGTGCGTGGCCAACGCATTGAGCTTGCTGAGATTGAGCATCATCTCTATCAATGCCTGCCAGATATCAAAGAAATCGCAGTTGAAGTGATTTTACCAACAGGAGGGAAGCCGATAGTAGCAGCGTTCCTAGAAGCAAATTCCGAGCTACTCAACAGCAAGAAGTCGGATAGTGGCTCCGGAGTTCATGTTGTGTTTCCAGCCCAAGCAGAGGACGAATTATCTCAACGGTTACCCCGGGATATGGTGCCTGGAATTTACTTTGCGCTCGTAGAGTTTCCAATCATGACGTCTGGTAAGATCGATCGAAAGCGACTACGCGAAATTGGACGCTCGTTTTCAGCACAACAACTAGCCCAGTTGCAAACACAGAGAGGCGAGGGCCTAAAACGACAGCCAGAGACAGAGCAAGAGAAGGTGTTGCAGCAACTATGGGCGCAGGTGCTAGGTATCAACGCTGCTTCTATTGGACTTGATGATAGCTTCTTCCGACTAGGTGGCGACTCGATCGCAGCCATGAAACTTGTGAGCGAGGCGCGCAATGTTGACCTGAAGCTTTCTGTTCAGGACGTTTTCCACGCGCAACGACTCGGCCAACTGGCCAAACAATCACTTCACTCTTCCACTGAGAGTGTAATCACAAAAGGCAATCATCGGGGGCCTGTCACCCAATCGTTTGCGCAGGGCCGACTTTGGTTCTTAGAACAACTGCATCCTGGACTAGACTGGTACCTCATGCACCTTGCCGTACGTATCAGAGGCCCATTTCAACTCCAAGCGCTTCAAGCTGCGCTACAGACAGTAGAGCGCCGCCACGAAACGCTAAGAACAACATTTTCCACCAACAATGGCGAAAATCTGCAGGAGGTCCATCCTTTCCATGATGGAAAAGACCTAAATGTCATCGACATCAACTCAAACGACGAAGCTTTGCTAGAAGTCCTGGAATTGGAACAAAAGACACCGTTTAATCTGCGAAGCGAGCCTGGGTGGAGAGTATCTGTCTATAGGATTGATGGGGAGAACCATGTTCTGTCTATCGTCATGCATCACATCGTTTCAGATGGCTGGTCAGTTGATGTTTTGAAGAAAGAACTGAGCAAACTGTACGCTGCTGCACTTCGCGGCGAAGACCTAGACTCCTGCTTACCACCTTTACCCATTCAATACCGCGACTTCTCTGTCTGGCAGAAGCTTCCAGGTCAAGTTCAAGAGCATCAACGACAGCTTGACTATTGGATCAACCAATTGGACTCAAGCCGACCAGCGGAATTTCTCTATGATAAGCCTCGGCCAGCTACTCTTTCTGGCAAAGCAGGCACACAGAAACTCACTATTAGCCACAGACTCTATGAAAGGTTACAAGATTTTGCTAGAGAACGTGGGGTGACTCTGTTTGTGGTCCTCCTCACTGTTTTTAGAGCTGCGCACTACCGCCTGACTAATCAGGATGACGCGACCATTGGAGTCCCCAACGCGAACCGAAATCGCTGGGAGGTTGGGGACTTGATTGGGTTTTTTGTTAACATTCAATGCCTCCGAATTAAGATTCAGGATGAAACCTTTGAAGAGTTAGTGCAACAGGTCTACACGGCAGTAGTAGACTCACTCGCTAACCAAGACGTACCTTTTGAGAATATCGTTGCTGCATTACAAGGAGACCGAGATATTTCCCGCAATCCTCTTACTCAGGTCGCATTCGCTGTTCACTCACAGCAAGATATAGGGAAGCTTTCGTTCGATGGTGTCGAAACAGAAGTTATAGAGGGCTTAGCTACCTCGCGTTTTGACCTCGAATTCCATTTCTTCCAGGAACAGGACAGTCTTCAAGGCTATATATACTTCTCAGAGGAGCTGTTTGCTCCTGAGAGTATACGTTCGCTAGCATCCGTCTTTACAAGCATTCTTGACAACTGTCTGGCCAAGCCAGAAACGCAGATTGCGATAGCCCCACTCATGACCGACCAAGCTCATATTCAGCTCGATCATATGGGGCTCCTCAGCATGAATGAGACGGCCTATTCCCGAGATTCAAGCATTGTCGATGTCTTCCGCCAGCAAGTCGCTATGCAACCGTCTAGAATTGCTGTTATAGATGCATTTACAGAACTGACATACACTGAGCTAGACGCACAGTCAGAAAAGCTTGCAAAATATCTAGCGACAAAATCACTTGCTCTTGAAACAGCAGTTGGTGTTCTGGCACACCGAGGCTGTGAAGCAATTGTTGCCTTTTTCGGTATTCTTAAAGCTGGATTAGCTTACCTGCCATTCGATTCAAAAGCACCAGAAAAGCGCATGGAATCAATCCTATCAACCATTGATGGAAAAAAGCTAGTTCTGGTCGGCCCAAACATTCGGTTGCCCGGTGCAGGACTCGAGGATGTTGAGTTTGCTCACATTGTCGACATCTTGAACGTAGACGATAATGCTGAGTTCATAAGAAGGGAGCTTGATCCCGCTCTCAAACCCAGTCCTTCTAGCCTTGCTTACATTCTATTTACGTCTGGCTCTACTGGCCAGCCTAAAGGAGTCATGGTCGAACATCGTGGCATAGTTCGCCTGGCACAACACGACCAGATGGAGCACTTTAGATCATCCGAAGCCACGGCTCATATGGCAAATCTTGCTTTTGATGGATCTTCCTGGGAGATTTATACCTGTCTTTTGAACGGAGGAACTTTGGCTTGCATTGATGCGACAACTGTCCTAGACCAAGATGCCCTATTGCGCGCGTTTAGGGAATACAAGATTCGGATCGCTTTTATCACGCCAGCTTTGCTGAAATATATCCTAGCCGAATCGCCAGACACAATCGGCAACTTGGATACTCTCCTTGTAGCAGGAGACAGAGCCGATATAAACGACCTCTTTACCGCAAGGAATCTTGTGACAAACAAGGTTTTCAACGCATATGGCCCTACTGAGAACTCGGTTATGAGTACACTATATTTGCTTTCGGACAATGAGGCTTGTGTCAACGGTGTACCTATTGGACGATCAATCAGTAACTCAGGAGCATATGTGATGGACCCAGAACAGAATCTTGTACCACTTGGTGTTGTTGGGGAACTCGTTGTGATTGGAGACGGTGTTGCCAGAGGATATACTGATCCAAATCGCAACGTCGACCGTTTCGTGACTATAACAGTCGGAAACCAGACAATGAGGGCATATCGTACGGGAGACTACGTCCGCCAGCGACCTACTGATGGAGAGATGGAATTCTTTGGTCGCATTGATGGTCAAGTCAAGATCCGGGGCAACCGTGTTGAACTAGGAGAGATCGAGAGCGTCCTGCGCGGTCACAACTTTGTGCGCGACGCAGTGGTAGTAGCAGAACAACAACAAGAAAAAGATCAACGACTTTTCGGTTACGTCACTCTCAAAGAAGGATCCGAAATGCCTGCCGGCAAGAACAGCGATAGCAACCAAATACAGCATGTCACTGCGTGGGAAGACCGCTTCAACACCGAGATTTACGCCCCGATCAGCCATATCGAGTCTGGAACAATTGGTCAAGATTTTATTGGATGGACCTCAATGTATGATGGCTCCGATATCGACAAGACGGAAATGAAGGAGTGGTTGGACGAAACTATTAACGCAATCCACACCAAAGCCGGTGGAAGATTAGGAAACGTAGTCGAAATTGGATCAGGATCCGGCATGATCCTCTTCAACCTCGGAAATACCCTAGAACATTACACCGGATTTGAGCCCTCAAAAAGGGCAGTCGACTTCATTATGGGGACAGCAAGGTCTATCCCCTCACTGGCCAACAAAGTGGAGATGTACAAAGCGACAGCCGCTAACATTAGTCAAGTAGATCCGCCGCTGCATGCTGACATGGTAATTCTAAACTCTGTTGTTCAGTACTTTCCTAGCCAAGAGTATCTGTTTAACGTGGTCCGAGAATTACTTCAAGTTACTAATGTTAAGACATTATTCTTTGGCGATATCCGTTCTCATGCTCTGCGCCGAGAATTCTTTGCAGCTAGAGCTCTCTTTATGGCTGGTAGACGGGCTAGCAAAGAGGAACTACGACGTATGATGGAGGATATGGAACAAATTGAACGGGAGCTGTTGGTTGATCCGGGCTTTTTTACTTCGCTAGCACATCGCCTTCCTGATTTGGTCCAGCATGTGGAGATTCAGCCCAAGAGAATGAAAGCAACGAACGAGCTGAGCTCTTACCGCTATACGGCAGTGGTTTACTCTCGATCTTGGACTCCGCCGTCCGGGGCACTTCAAACTATCCCTGACAATGAATGGACCGATTTTAAAGAAGAGAACTTGGACCGTGGATCTCTTCAGCAGCGGATAAAGGATGTTCCAAGCACAAGTCCTATGGCCATAAGCAATATACCCTGCAGCAAGACTGTCTTTGGAAATCGCCTTCTAAGCTCTTTGGAAGACGAAAAAGCCAGAAAGCCAGTCCACATGGACTGGCATGCTCTGATTGACCAAGAAATAAAGCAAATTCCCAGTCTTTCTGCTGTTGATCTGGATGAAATGGCCAGAGAAGTAGGCTGTCAGGTACAGATCAGCTGGAACAGACAATATTCACAACAGGGTGGCCTGGATGCTATCTTCTACCCTCGTCAAATCAATGACGATGCTGGCAAGTCTGGACTGATGTTTTCATTCCCAACGGATCACACAGATCGGCCACAGCAAAACTTGAGCAACAAGCCAATGCGGCAGCAACTCGTCAAAGAAGTCCAACAGCAGCTCGATGAGCTTGTGAGACTTCAGCTACCTTCATACATGGTTCCACAATCCATTCAAGTCTTGGATAAACTTCCAATAAATCAGAACGGCAAGGTGGATCGAAAAGCCCTTGCACAAAGAACAAAACTGAGTGTCGTGGTTGGCCAAGACATCCAACAACGAGAACTCAGCCCTGCAGAAGTCAAAGTGCAGAAGATACTGGCGCGAGTACTTGGAATTGACGCTAGTCGTATTGGATTGGAAGACAGCTTCTTCCAGCTAGGTGGAGACTCAATTGCGGCTATGAAGATAGTCGCAGCAGCTCGAGAAGAGGACATCCGACTCACAGTTGCGAACATCTTCCAGCATCCCAAGCTCGTCAACCTAGCCACTGTCGCTCAGTTCTCTCAAAGTGTAGCTGAAGAGAAGCCGACTCAGCCATTCTCTTTCCTCTCGCCAACTGAAAAGGAGCATCTCCTCCAGGCTATACCTGCGAATACTTCCAAGGTAGACAGAAACGACATTGTCGACATCCTTCCAACGACATGGATGCAGAATCTGTTCATTTCCCGGGGTGTCAACGATCTAGCCCTAGCTTTCAACTACTTCTTCCTCGACTTGGGGACACGTGTTGACGTTGCTCGCCTCAGACGCAGTATCCCGGCTCTTGTCAAACACTTCTCTATCCTTCGCACAAAGTTTGTTTATGTCGACGGAGTATTATGGCAAACTGTTCTTCGCGACCCTGAAGTTCCCTTTATCAAGTTTGAGCTTGATATGCCTCTTGACGAAGCAGCGGACACTGTCTGCTTAGAGGACAGTCGGAACACGGAGCCCCTGGAGTTGGCTACTGCTTTCTTGTTGGTAAAAAGCTCCTCGGGCGAACACCGTTTGGTAATCCGCATTACACATGCTCAGTACGACGGTGTTTGTTTCCCGTCCTTCATAAAGACGCTTTTTGCCATTTACTCTGGCAAACCTGTAGAGGCTACGCACAGCTTTTCAACCTATCTAGCCTACACTCGGGGGAGAAGATCAATCTCATCACAGTACTGGCGTAACCTCCTCCAAGGCTCACGGATTACAAAAGTCACCTCGTTGCTCGGTCCTAGCATTCGGCGTGGCAACAATCCAATTGAAATCCAGACAGAAAGTATCATCAGCATGCCCCACGTCCCAACTGGTTTTACTCTAGCCTCGATCGTCAGTTCAGCCTGGGCAAGGGTGCTCTCAAAAATCACCGGAGAAGAAGACGTCGTCTATGGATACATGATAGCCGGCCGCAACGCGAACATTCCAAACATTACGAAAATCGTCGGTCCCTGCTTGAACATCATCCCCGTTCGAGCCCGAGTCCATCCAACAACTTCGTCAACTGACCTAGTGCGCGCAATCCAAGAACAATACATCGCACTCGGCGAAGCCGATTCAATGGGCTTCGACGACATCGTGCGCACATCCACAGACTGGCCAGCCGATGCGCATTACGACTCGGTGTTCCAGTACCAGAACCTGAATGAACACCCGGTATTTGATTTCGAAGGCACAGATTCTAGACTGCATTGGTTTCAGAATCCGGATTCGGTACCGGCTATCTTGACTGTGGTGGCCTACCCGCTTGAGGATGGACTCAGGATTGTGGTTAGGGGTAATGAGCATATGATTACGCCTGAGGGTGCGGAGTTGATTAATACATCGCTCTGTGAGATGATTGGGAAAGTGTCTTCTTCGCTGCATGAGGCGTGAAAAGATTAGGACAGGATGAGGATAATGCAAGGGTTAATTAAGAGCCACTTGGGCAGAGCACTTGGCATGGCTGGAGCTTGGGGTGAGATACTCTCTAGATAGCAGCTACGAGGTTGTCTGATCTTCTTTCAGGAGGCCAGCTTTGATGGTGGATTTGGCGTACTGGGGATGGATTTCTTTACTACACAAAATTATTGTCAATAAAGATATGTCGTGCGATGTGTTATACTACGTCACTTGATTAAATTGATTTTTGAATACGCAAAATTTTGTTAAAACTCACTGTGAAAGCTCTCGGCTAATATGATGGTCGCAGCATTTATGACATTACGATCTGCTACTCTTTCAGCACTCTTACATAGCTACATAGGTGTTGTGAGCCTTTCAACCCATCTTCCAACTATGGAGGACTTAGTCTCCACCAAACCCTTGCCTGGAGCTTCGTTCATGTCAACTGTAGATTTAGCCATATATTACGTCGGCATATCGTCTTGTTGCTGAGATCTCAGTGGTTGCGCTTGCTACCACACCTAAAGAAATCTCCTTGAGCCATGGAGCCACTCCTTGCACTTCATGCGGCGAAACATTTATTTCACAGCTAGGATGTTCAGTGTTACTAATAAAACCCCAGAAAACAATAACTGTTAGCGCCATCTCTTGTATATTCAATGATTGTTGGTGATTTTACCACTCTGTGTGGAGCTTGCGCGATGATCCTGGCTCGTGCATAGGGCTGGTCCGGTTCTCGCAGCATCCATCCTACGTACATGCAGCTCGATCTTTATTCACACACATGTACACCATCTACTCAACGACCTAAACCGCTCGCTGCCTTGTTGTCGCACTCCATTTACGATACTCATATTTATATTGGACTGCGGAAACACTCCTTGGACGTTCACAACTGCGCGCATAAGGCCGCGCAGCGCAACAAATGCCCGCTCCCGCGTCAAACAAGCGCGTCAAGGTAAGCAACTTGCGCGTTGCTCCAAAAGCTATGTAATGACCCCGAACAGAACAAGCGCATAAGTAGAAATCTCAGTAAGCTACGGACCAACCCGAACATAGAACGACACTCACATTCTCAGTAATCGGCTCAGAAGCCTGGCAATTACCCCCGGTGGGACACCCTGATCGTCCCAAGAATGTCCCCGACGATCACACGAAGCGCTGGACGGTATATGTACGAGTTCCCGATGGCGACCCCGATATACGAGCGTGGCTCAACAAGGTCTCGTTCAAGATCTTCAACACGTACGAAAACCCCCTGCGCATGGTCGAAAAACCGCCGTTCGAGGTGACCGAGACAGGATGGGGAGGCTTCAACATTGACATACGATTGCATTTCCAGCCCATATCAGGAGAGAAGGCACAATACAGACAGCACTTTTTGCAACTGGAGAAATACGGTGATGAGAAGATGCAAGCAGAGCAGGAACGGACGGGTTGCGTGCGTTCAGAGTTCCTTGAAGTTGTGCAGTTCAACGAGCCTACCGAAGCGCTCTTTGATGCCCTCACCTCGGACGATCAGTGGAACTACCTCATACCACCTGGCAAGGGCGGCTCTAAGAAAGCATCCCTTGGCGCTAATGGAAGACTAAAGCGCGGGCTACCGAACGGAGAGAGGAGTGCACAACTGCCAGAAAAGGGCGCGGACGACGTGCCTTTTAGCCAGGAACAAGAACAGGCCCTGCTAAATGACCTCAAAGCAAAGATAGCAGAGGTGGAAAAGCAACTGGAAAAAGAAGCAAAGAAGAAGGAAGAAGTCGAGGCTAAGCTTGGGGGATTACGGAACGAGTTGGGACACGAGGCTGCTCAGCAAGCAGCGCAACAAGCCAGCGGAGACCGCAGCCGACGGAGATGATAGCAAAAGGCATGGACATGGAAAAAAAAGGACATACAGCCTTGGTCGATCTCAATCGTTAAGGATGCATGTATATCAGTGGCTACAGGCCGTATGGCATACCTGACAATGGTACGAGACTTTGAACATATCGGGGGTGAAGCACAAGAAGACAGAAGATGGAGAAATTTCCATGCTGTAGCCACAAGTCATTGTTGGATTCTTGCATTGGAGGCAGTGCATTATTGTCTAAGTCTACGTTTGCAGCTGCACGTAAGACTTGGAGATATGACTTAAGTTGGAGAATCTGTTTGACACAATTTAAGTCGTAGCTTCATGTCTTATGTGCAGCTGCAAGTCATGGAGCTATGGGGGTATGGTAGGAGATAACCAGCCAGGCATTGTCATTTACCCGGAAGTCTTGACAGACGCAGTAGAACGGGATAGATAATGTGTTGGAAATCAAATCTTGAGCATTCAATTGCTTGTAATCACATGTGCATGAGGCTGGCGTAGGACCTGCAATACATAGCTGTGTATTACATACATCATCCTGGTGGATGTGCTGTTATTGTAGGCGTCCAATCATATGTCAAGGAGACCGATAGAAACCCAAAGAACATGTGTAATAAGACCAGCCGTTTCAGTTCGACTGTTACAAAGCCTTCGCATCTGAGCTAATGTTCGTGTGCTCCGACCTCATATTCGGGATTAAAGCAGATTGAGCTTGTAACGCCGAACTGCTTACCTAGACAACTGATGCTGACATTACAGCTGCGTGTGTGTGCTTGAAGCCTCACGTTGTAAACCACAAGTTGATTTGTCAGTAATTTTTGTGGGCTCCAGTCCACTTTTGGAAATTCTTCCTTGCCTCAAACATGCGGACGAGTGGTAGCGAGCAAGCGACGTCATGGATTCCTAAGCAATACCCCTCGTAAAACGGCGGCTTTCCGCATACATGTAGATGCATATAACCCCTCTTCAACGCGCTGTGCTTAGCCTTTTCACATGTCACTATTACGCCAGTGCTTCCCCTCGCAATTGAGATATACACTTCGCGCTTCCTCACGTGTACAGCGACCGCAATTCACTTCTATATCACATTTCCACACCTCGAGACCGTTCCAGAGCATAATACCAGATATGGCGGACGATCAACCCAAGGGACTAATTGCGAACAAGGGCATTGAGTTGCTCACTTGGGTATGGTAGTAGCATTACTGCAATCATTGACCCACTCCTAACCGATCGTAGGGCACACCCAATGGCTGGAAAGCTAGCATTCTGCTTGAAGAGCTCAAAGAGGCCTACGGCAAGGAATACACCTGGCAGGCCATTAACATCAGCAAGAACACACAAAAGGAGCCTTGGTTCACTAAGCTAGGTCCCAATGGCCGAATCCCAGTCATTGTAGACCATGATCAGGGCGGTTTTGCTGTGCAAGAGGGCCTCGGTAAGTATCTGCTCAGCGAATACAACAGATATGGAGCGTGTGAATAGGATTCTAATGACTAGAGTTAGCCATCCTTTCATATCTGACGCGCCATTACGATCCTGAGCATAAGTTCAGCTTCAGCGACCCCCTCGACGTGTCGCGCGCAGAGCAATGGATGGCGTGGCAGCACGGCGGCCTTGGTCCGATGCAAGGCCAGGCCAACCACTTCAACCGCTTTGCCAAAGATCGCATCCCTTACGGTATGCAACGCTACACGGGCGAGACGGAGCGCCTGTTGGGTATACTCGACTCGCACCTGGCCAACACGGACTACCTGGTGGGCAACAAGTTCTCCATTGCGGACATTGCCAGCTTCGGTTGGTGCCATATGGCGCGCTTCACAGGCGTCGACCTTGAAATGTTCCCCAACTTGAAGAAATGGCTGGACAGAATACTTGCCCGGCCCGCGGTGCAGAAGGGCCTTTCGGTCCCGAGCAAGAGCACATTCGGCAATGACGCATACTTGCAGAGGTTGAAGGATGACAAGGAGTTTGCGGAGAAGGAGCAGCAACTTCAGGAACAGATCAAGGCTGCCAAGGAGCAGTATGGATACAAGTACTCTAGCCCTTGAGGGCGCCGCAGCTAGCTAAAAATCAAAGTTCTTGTCAATTTGGCCATCATTCATGAAGGGTGCAACCTAGAAACAGCTCACAGTGCACGTGCAGCAAAAGTGCGTTGTTGAATCGAAGATCTTGGGTGTAAGTATTCTGGATGGTCTAGACATGGAGGTACACAATACGGTACTCTAGAGCAAGTCTATGGCACTGCTCCACACAGCTGTCCCAGCTCCTGAAACGAGCAAAAGATCCGAAACTTTGCGATTTGTGTTTCGCTCGACGGAATCTCGAGCATTGGCAGCCAATCATGGCGGAAGCTACCCCTGTACTAGACACAGCACCAATCCGCCGCCAACGACGTCAGCGATACATTCTCCAAGCGCCGTGCCAAAAAAACAGGGTCCTGTGGCCGCACCACCTTGTCCACCGCAACGGCCTGCCAACGAATGGTTGTGGGGATATGTGGCATGCTACGAGGGCCACCTGACAATGAGTTTGCAAGAGAGGAATGATTGTCGCGACCGGTGTGACTGTTGTTATATCTGCGACTTTGGACGCAGTCACAGCTGTGAGACTGTCTGACCATCTTTTTTTTCTTGTACCAACAATTCATTATTATTTTTCTTCTTCTTCAACTGCCGACTTTGATAGTCGGTACAGTGTTTCTTTCTCCTGAATATCCCGTCAGCCTGTCCAGGATCCCCCTTGCCTGCAAACCTTGTGGGCACCGATACCTACCCATCCTCCCACCCACGCCCTGCTGATCATAGCACGGAAACAGCTTAACTCATCGGACCCTGGCAAAAAAAGGGTCCCAAAGACAACATCCCACTCCAAGGTTAGCGGTAATCGACGTCATAGCCTGGGCTACCTTGTTTAAACCTTCCCCCTCCCAGCCGCCCCCNCCCCCCCCACATCTGGCCGCAACATCCCCCGATCACCGATCCAGTTTGACCCTGTGAAGAGCGCGCAAACAGTACTACAAAAAAACGACGCCGTTGTTTGCGCCCAGTTGCGCGAAAGAAAGAAAGAGAAGAAAAAAAGGAATCGCCGTGCCCATCACAAAGGAAAACCAGCGGTGTGAATTCGTCGTTGAAAGTAAAAACGCTACATTCCCCATCAACCTTTCCCACCTTTCCACCCCAGAAGGAGCATTCAACCACCCGCCTTCTCCACCCCAACAACTTGACATAAACCCCCATCGTCAAGCCAGTCGTCCAAAGCTCCCGACAATAACAAAAAGTAAGCTTCTCCACCTGCCTCCTGCCAACTATGCCATGCTAACATGGACCACCCAGTCTCACTATATTAAAAGAAAATGGCCTTCAAATTCCTCTCGAATAGCACTCTCCGAGGCGAAAAGGCCGCCTTGGGAACCACGCTGCGCAGCCACTTTACCCCAGCAACGATCCTGCGCCTCATCCTCCGCCTCTTCCAATTCGTCATGGGTCTCACCGTCATCGGCATGTACGCCGTCGACCTCGACAACGCACGCAAGCAAGGCAAATACGTCGACTCAAAGTGGGTCTGGGCTACCCTCTGCGGCGCCCTCGGCGCCTTCGTATCCCTCCTATTCATGATCCCGTTTTTGGCGCGAGTGGTGCTGTTGTTTGCAGTGGATGTGGTTGTGTTCGTCTGCTACATTGTTGCGTTTGGGATTTTCGGAAACATGTATATTGGGGAGGATGCCGAGGGGGACAAGGGCGTGCAGAGGATGAAGAATGGTGTTTGGGTGCTGCTGACGAATGTGGTGCTTTGGTTTATCTCAGCCGTTGTGGGCGCGGCTTTGTTTTGGAGGGCGAGGAAGGCAAGGACGACGCATACCGGACGGGCGCCGCAGCACGTCTAGGTTTTCCCCTTTCTCCCCACCCCTTCTTCTTGTTTCCTGAGAAGAGAGGGAACGGAGGGAAAGAGGGCGTGCAAAGGCTTGATTTGGCTTAACATCCTTTGCTGACTTTCTTTTTTTCCCGCGGTTAACAGCGCGTTCGTACGTTCCGCATCCGAGATGTCGAAGATGCGCCGTTGAGCGATGGGACGAAGACGGTTGCTTGGGGTCCGACAACCGCATCGGCCGAATCGACAACATCGAGATTGTCCTCTGCTACCGATACCTCAACCCCCATCACCACCACCACCATGGACACGAAACCCCGCACCCCACCCATCTCCCGCAGTTTCCTCCCCGTTACAGTCCCCATATCCACCACCTGCTGTCCCTTTTGCTGCCCAAACAACCGCAACGACTCCATCACGCGTCCCCTATCACCGTCCTCGGAATCTTATTGTTCTTCTTCTTGTACGGATTCGGATACCGAAGATGCCAGCTCGACGTCTCCGGCTCCGCCTTCGTATCACACTGATCCTATGCCACCTACTCCCTAAGCACACTGAGCACTGTTTGAAAGGCTTTGAGATGAAATGCGGAATGAGGAGAGATGCTTACGATGGAGGAGGAGTTGAGTGCTTTGGGAACAAGTGGCGTTATTGTTAGATTTGAAATACCCCTTGTTTTTTGTTAGCTTTTCCCTATCAGACTTGATACCCCCTCTTCATTTTTTTTACTACCTCCTGCGATTTATGTGATGCTTGTTCAGATTGATGAGATATTATGTAACTATGCAGGACGATGTTACCCTTTTTCCGATCATGTTCACTGAAAAATGCTAGTTCGCTGTGGATGCCGTGCAAACATGGCTTTGTCTTACATAAAGCACTCCAAGTAGTTAACGTGCGGGATCAGTAAGCTGGGCAGATCAGTAAGCTGGGCACCCTACCAAACTTCACGCGAGGTTCTGTGCAATTGAGCCACAACAACACAATAGATATAGATAAAAATAAGAGATATACTTTTGCAAGAGTATAAATAGATTATTTTAGATTATTATA